ATGGAGTTTACGCTTTTTTGTTTTTCTGAAAATTCGAATTGCCCTTGAAATTGTTGAATGGCTGTTGTGTCCCCAGAAGAAACTGCGGGTGGGGGTGGTAAAATGACGGTTCAACGTTGTTGGAGAATGACAACAAGCGCAATTTTTACTCCTTTTTAATTGTTTATTTTTGTCCGCATAAATTTATCTGAATATAGTATAATTATAATATTCAATAATGGTAACATACCTACAAACCAAAGCACTAATATAAAATTACGAACCAATCGAAATCAATTTGGACTAAACTTGTGCCGATCAAAACTAAACCCCCGTACAATAGAATCCGACGCTGCTGACAAATAAATAGACTCCAGATTTATAATCTTGAGGTTTAGTTATCTTAATATTTTGGGAAACCACTGGCTTGAAAGCTCAGTTTCTCTAAAATGGTTGTTTACATTTTAAGGGAAAGGCAAATTAAAAGTCTTCATATGTGTTTTGTTAATTTGTTAATAGAAAAAGGTGTACTAATTGTATGACTTTTTTTTTTTTTAATTGAGCACTGTGCAAGCCCTCCGCAGGATTCACGTTTTTGTTTTTAAAAATTGATTTAGTCTTACAAGTTACAACCATTTTTTCTTTTTTTTCCGATGAGTGGTCGTACAACTTCTAGAATGGGTATGGTGGGATTGTGTTTAGACAGCAATTAACTCAGGTTGAGATTGAATCTTAAGCAGCTTTGCTCATCTAGAAAGCCCAGGGGTTATTATTGGAGTAGGCACACTCTAACACCTAAATTAATAACATTTTAAAAAAATTTAATTATAGACTTTATAATAATTTTTTAAATTAATTTTTTAATATCTAAAAATTATATTAAATTTTGATTAATTTAGAGTTAAACTATATCAAACTTCATAAGAGAAAAAACCCTTTGATACTTTTTTTTTTATTCACAAACTTAAATTTAAAAATTTAATTAAAAATTTTTTTTTCGCTCAAATCAACAAATCATTAAATTTTGTTCACATGTGAATTTTTGAGTTATACAATAATTCTCAAATTCTTACGTGTTGTCTTAACATTTTTTATATTAAATGTGATAACATATACATTATCAAATGAATTATAGAAATGGTTTAGTTTATTTTAGTATTTAAACTTAGGTTTCCAATTTAAGCAAGCAAATATTTTACAATAGATTACAAATGTTACGCTAATCTATATTAAAAAATTCCTCAAATTGAGGCTGATCAGAAAAAAAAAATCCTCAAATGAAAATAATCCCAATTCAACTTCTAGAACAACTCAAAACCAAGTGCAACATTAGCATGTTAACTGTCTCACAAGAATACAAACACAAGCACATCCCTTCATGGGCAATGAATGGATATCCAATTTAATCAATTAATTAGTATTTTAATACTTCAATTATGATCAGAATATCTTACTTTAATCAAACCCGAATCCTCAACATTTGCTGGAATTGAGCTCTACTTTATCTCCTCTTCAAAGGCCAATTGAGGAAAATCAGTTGACAAAATTGGTAAAGAAAAAGGTAGAATTCTTATCAACTTGCTATATTTAATATAAACCTTCCAAATTAATTACTTGTAATCTTTTTAAAAGCCAACTTAGCCTAGGACAAAATCACCCAAGATGCCATTATAATATCACATTAAACACTTGATAGATCAACTAATAAAATTATTATTGAGCACCATGATTACGGCTGTCATTTTCTTTACTTAATAATCCTGATCAGTACTTACCACATGGAAAACCGCCTACAGGAGGACATCTTCGTCTTTTCGTATCCCAGCAGGGCTACACTAGGAAATATAAGCGAGGACATATCAGGAAATATGGAAAAAGAGAAAGGAGCAACGCGTCAAAGGGAGAGCATAAGACACCACCACGTGTCGGTGGGAAAATGAGGAGAATATAAAAGTGATACCTTTTTTAAGTTTTTAAGGTTTTCCATATTTAGAAATTGGAGAGCGTACCGAGCAAATTATCCAAAAATGCAATGTGATTTGCCATCATTTTTGGTAAGAACTAAGAGGCAGGCAACTGATCTCTCGACAGATCAGCCTTAACAGAGCAAGTTACTAAGCAATTAGCTCATGAAATCCACCAAGATCTTCAATTACGTATATTAATTAGATACAATGGTACTTCATTTACTACTAACTAATATAATTAATTAGGGCAAGCTGCTTCTCTTTTTGAAACTCTCAAAATCTCTTTAATTAAACAATTGTGTGATTAAGTTTCATTTTTCCTCTCAACTTGTACTGCCTGATCAGTTCTTGCTGTTTTTCATCAAATTTTATCCCTGAGTAGTTAATCCCATGGTCGATCTTCTATATGCTTTTTATGATTAAGGAAAAAGATGGAAGTTTGAAAATAATTAGAACCATTGTTGGGTTGGTCATATACAGTTGCAACATATGTATTTGGAATGGTGTACATATATATAGGATGAAAAAGAATTAAGAATAGAGCTATGAACATTTATTCCTTTTTGTTAGAAGAGTAGATAAAAGTAGTTACTTGATTCTAGATATTGAGTCCAAAAGTACTTCTTGCTATTTATGTTACAAACAATGAACAAGCCAGCTAAATGATCGATAGAGGGAAGAAATGCACAGTTATTTGTGATTTGTGTTTGATGCATTCTTTTTGTGTTTCCCAGTTGAATTGATTAGAAAAAAAAATGGTAAATGTTTGTTTGCATATGATATACAAAATAAAGAAGGAATTGATTCTATATAACAAAATATAAACTAATGCGTAACGAAAAAAAGTTATCAGCGAATCTATCATGATTTGTGCACTACACGCCAATTCATTCAAAATCTAATTATATTTTTATAATCATGATTAATTATAACTATAGGCCCCATCCATTTTGCATATTACTTACCCTAACATAAAAAAAAAAATTATCATTTTTTTAAGGTAAATAAATATTCTTTTATTTAATTTAACCCTATCATTATTCATTTATTTTGATGAGTAATTACTTTATCATAAAAAATTTTACTTTATCTTTTAATTTTTTCCTAAAACTAATATCGATCAATATATAAATAGTCTTTAAATTCTTAATAAAATAAAAAAGTGACACTTATTATGGAATAGAGGGGGCATAAAATTCTGGAAAATGCTAATTAGAGAACAAGATCAAATAGCCATCTTCATCATATATACAAATGCTAACTACAGCAAAAAATAATAAGTAAATAAATAAATGAAAGTCAATAGAACACATGCTCAACTATATATAAAGTTCCCTAACCATAAATAAACATCGATATATTTCGATTGAAGACAAAACTTACTGTGTTTTTAACATGAACTAGAATGAAATAATCAAACCAATTAAATAGTCAAATGACAATACAAACATATATTATAAGTTTAATCACTCATGGAAGGCAACTAGCTTGCATTATTAAGTTATGAGAGATGGAGATCCATCACTTGCGGGAATGGGTCAATGGTGCAAAACACTATGTCATAAAGCAAATGCAAGTTGCGCAGGATCGCAAATTCAAAATTAATGATCAATAAACAAACAAATACTTAAACTTTAATTAGGCAAACAATATTGACAAAAGTAGCAAACAACAATGATACCAATACCCACTTCAGGAAATGTTTTCCCACCATCGCTATAATATATTATATATGAAAAATATACTAATAATTTATCATATTCAAAATGTCTATATAGGACCAGATCATGTGTCACTAATCCTTTGTTTAAGAAAATTAGGATAAACTTAGGAAGCTAGGAACCTTATCAATTAAGAAAAGGGGTTGGATGAATTTGATCAAAGACTTTGATTAGTACACTCTTTAATTTAATATATTGTATAATATATTTATTAAAAGTTATTATTTTTTAATATAAGATTAGAAATAGACAAATTTAAATATACAACTATCATACAATATGTAAAAATTGATTAAATTTATTGTACTTATATATTATTTTAATTGTTAAATCGAACGAGTGTTGAAAGATGGGTTAAGTTGAAAGATGTACTACTCATTTTTTGTTTAATTAATATATGTGTGCCTATTTATAATTAGAGTGATTTTTTTACTGGTCATGCATGTTTAATTGTTTATAATTACTTTATTACATATCCAAAATTGTCATTTATTACTATTATATCTTTGGTTCTATATATATATAAAGAAAAAAAAAAGTCATGACCAATCATGATGTCTATGTGTGGTTAATTATATCATGAAAAAAGTAGCATGGAAGTTTTGAAAGAAATTAATTAAACCATATATATCATCAATATATCCAATAGGTCGACGCCATGTGATCATGTCTTCCACTATATATATATACGCTCGTAAAAGCATGTGATGATGTTTCAGGTATGCACAAAACACATAATCCTAGGATTCTCCTCAACAGAAATGGCTTGGATAATCTTAGTAAGTGCTCAAACAAGTTGACGCATAAAGTCTGTAATATTCTTCCAAAAGCACGGGAGACTAGCTTATTTCAGAAACCAGATCTAATTGTTCTGAAATACAACGCATGTGCTTGCTGACTTCACCATTTCTGATATCCCTGCATTTCCAGGTGGCTGGCGATCAGAAATTTAAGCTAGAGCATGTGAAGCTAGAATTAACATATGTATAGTTCTGGAAATTCCATTTCTGGGAGATATTAATTTTTGGTTAAGAAATCTCATGCAGCCTTAGTAGTTTTTACACAAATGACAAAACACACGGTCTAGGGTTCAGGGACTGCTCCCCGGCTTAAACCTCGATTTGGTTGAATCCATGTGAACGATGTCATTGACATTTGGTTGGATCAATGCATAAGAGATTCGATGGTTACATATACTTTGAAATGAAAAGGAACGGAACGGCATGTTAGAATATTGAAAATTTCCATGCTTTCAACTTCCTCATCAAAAGTAAGGACAAGTGTCAATCACCAGGACAATGATATGGTCCGGAAACCCAAAAAAAGGCCATTTTAATCTCCGAATAGTGGGTGTGGGGCTAGAGGTGAGTGTCGTTTTTGTATATTTTATGTAGTCTTCTCGATGCAAATTATATTAATTAATTACTTGGTTTTTATAAATTTTATTTGGGCATTGGCTTAGTAAGGGAAAGAAAAAGTTAATTTTATCTCTTTTGTGGAGAGGTGATTTGGCTAGGATTTTATGGGAAGAGTAAGCTTTCTTTATATTAACATTGATTAATACATATTTTAATTTAATATATTTATTAAAAATTTAATTTTTAAAAAAAATTAAAAAAATTTTATTTTTAAAAAATTGATTGTTAAATTGAAAGTTCATTCAAATAAATCGTGCATATCAATTTTCATATTAATTTAATATATATAATT